TGACAGGGCTTTTTTTTCGAGCTGCACTGGATTTGGGATCACTGACAAAATTACGTATACCTTACATGTAATGAAGCACGCATTAAAGGTATGTGTTCCCTGTGTTTTCCACCTGTCCTGGTCCCCGAGTGCGTCCACAAATAATGGGGTGTTCGAGTCGACGTCGGCCAGCTTGCATTTTTTCAGTCTGCCCAGTTTTACCGATGGATTTTGAGAGGGGAGCGCCAAAGGCGCTCGTAATCTAGGGGGTCCGGGGGAATGCTCCCCCGGGAAATTTAGGATTTCTAAGCCTTCAAAAACGCAATTTCCCGCATTTTGAGAGGCAAATCATGGTGTTGAGAGTGTTTGTCGGTCCTTCTGATGTTTTCATATTTTACTCAAGATTTTTGTTAATTTGCCTGTCAAGGTTGACGGATTCCTTTTAAAAAATTCTGGAACTCTCCGCAAACTTGCGAAAATTGACGGGAAAGCTGGTTCTGGCTAAGAGACCGAGCGCCAAAGGCGCGCGAGCAATGTAGGGGGGTCCGGGGGCATTCTCCCCCGGGAAATTTTGTATTTTTTAACCTTCAATGACGCATTTTCCTGCACTTTGAAAGGCAAAATTAGGGCGTAACGAAGAATTATTCATTAACGCTTAACGCTGAATTTAGGATGACAAATAACGTTTTACGTTGAATTAAAACGACCAATAACGCTTCACGATGAATATATCGATGACGCTTAACGTTGAATTAGAGCGGGCCGGCAACGATTAACGGTAAATTAAGATAGCCCATAACGGTTAACGAAAAAGGGCATGCAGACCCTCAAGTTTACCTGCGATTCTTGTGCCCATAAGACCGCATCCTATCACAGCTATTTTTATCCGCTGATCGGGAACTCCTGCGCCTGTTGTCGCGTTGTCTGAACAGCCTCCATTCATGTCTCACTCGTTCTTGATCACTTTTTAACCGCCTTGGTTACGCAAATGCTGAAGAAACAGTTTCTGACAGTGAGTGGCATTCCGTTTATGGAATAAATCATTCGGTCATTTCAAAGGGTACAAAATGTTAAAATACATAGCAAAACAATTTTGACACACTATAAAAACATACTTTGATACATAGTAAACAATATAATAGTTAGTATAATTTACTATTTAGCCTATTAAGGGCTTTTTGGTACAAATTTTGATCGCAATTTATTATAGAAGAAAAGTTACAACCCTGATCTGAAGTATACTGTTCCGTTGACCTCTGACCTGCTAAGATGGCGTCCAGTCAGGACGACAGTTCCTCTGGGTGCAGACATTCGGACTGTCCGAGCCTCTCCGCCCGCCGAGTGGTGACCAGTGCGGCCAGGGAGAGGTGGAAACTGCTGGGAAGGGTATGCTGAAATGATTTAAGTCCAGATCGGTGACGATTTTACAGTTGACAACCTCTAAAGTATCAGTGTTTGGTGCGAAGTCTTCCTAGGGCCTTGGCTCAGAAAGTTGTACTTTTTGATAATTTTACTCACTGTCTGGTACGCTTTATCGAAAATTAAAAAAAAAAAGTAGAGGCACGGATCGTCTCAACATTAAGACGAAAGTGCACAAGACGAATTCTGTGACTTTCCATTGTCAATGTCATTAGTAATTTGTTTACCCAAAATGTTTAACCAAGGTAGTATAATTATAGTATAATGTCCTTGGCTTAACTTACTCTAATACTTAAACATTTAAATAGTATCTACTGATATTTATATTGGAGCCATATAGCTAGAAATACATGTATATTCTGATCTAAATGACCATCTCCTAGTCACATCCAAGACTCATGGAGATTTTTAATAGTACGTTACACATTATTTGATTTACTCTCCTATCAGGCATTAAAACAGCGTGCAAGCAACGGCAAAGTGGAGGCCATATCTGTGCGCAGGTTTGAGTCCTTCGGTCTCCTGAAAACACGGAAGGCAAAACTGGATGATTCCACTTCGACTGAGAGGGAGGGAGCCAACAAGGAGGATGCTAAGTGGTTCGAGTACACCTGCAATCTTCTGCCCAACTTTGGAATGGAGATCAGGTTTGGAAGACCACTGTGACAGTTCTACCAAGGATTTTTCATGCTCTTTGGTTCTACTTATAATAGTTGTGGTATTGCTTTCTGTTGTCGGTAACCATTAGCTGGTGTGTTTATTATATTGTGTCATAATGCTTTTCATATGTTTCTTTAGACAACTTGGTGGTTCTTTCACCTATGAGGCCTTGATTGGGTTCAACAATACAGGAAATGTCTGTAAGTAACCCACTACCATCTTTATATTCCTGTGGTTTCAATTTGAAAAAAAAGATACACATTTGGGCCTTGAAGTACCTTCATGAATAAATACTTTTCTTCATGATGATGACTTTTTTTATTGTAACCCAGGTATTTGGCCATCAGAAGAAGTCCTGACATATTACTGTCTGAAGAACAAAGAAGTTTTTAGGTAAGACGTACATGTAGTGTTTGAAATGGCTTGAATGTTTTGTGATAATTGACTCTCAACTTTTTTGGTAATCATCTATGGCGATAACATAACTTGCTACATAATAAAACCCAATACCACAGGGTGTGTGCTACAGCACCAGTTACCATGGTGACAGGCAGCTCCAGGACATTGACCTTATTTGTTTGGGGAAGAATAAGAAGAGGAAGCAGAAGAAGAATCAGCAAAAACAATATGTTTTCCTTCTGTTGTCTTTTTCCTTCAGGCACCAGAGAGTTTGTGAACTTGGAGGAGGGATGACATGCCTTGCTGGAGTTGCCGTGAGTATATGTATTTGTATATATGACTTTGTTCTTAAAGATTCAATAGCGCTTTATTCAAAAGTTTCTTTCTGATGACTTTCATTTCATTTCTCATTTCAGGTGGCTGTTGCATCTGAGGCTGAAGAAGTTGTGTTGACAGATGGCAATGAAAAGTCTGTGGAAAGTATCCTTTTGTACATGTGGAGCATTAGTTCAGATGTAGGACCATGGTATAAAAGCAGCCAAGCAACAGATTTATATATGCATGATCAAGATATGACAATAATAGGTACAGCAATATTCAATGCATGTATTTAAGAATTTTTCCCATCAGGGCTTAATCCAGTATCACAAAGCAGGGAAATAGCTTGTCAGATGAGTCTGCGAGTTCTAAAGGGATATTTATTTGTTTGTTTGTAGCTGCGGTGTGACTAGTGTCCTCTCAATCAAGGTTTTCAAGGAACGGTCAGTGAATCCAGTCCAATGCAACAGTAGATTTTCATGCCAAGAAATACATGTACTTGACTCTCTAGCAATTTTGAAATTTGGCAACCTGTTGATAAACAAATTCAGCCAAAGGTTGTTTGTCGGCATTGTGATGCCAGCTTTAGGAGTGAATAATTTTTCATAGAACAGGCCCCTTTCAGTATGATACTTTTCAGTTTGTAGAATGTCTCCTTAATGACATTGTCACTCAGATGTTGACCAGATTGTACAGAGAAATTCTGCCCAGTTTGGAGACACCAGGGTGTCCTGCCAGGTGCTGAAGTGGGATGAACAGGACCAGCTGGACAGACTGGCCGGGGGCTATGATCATGTCATCTGTGCAGATTGGTAAGGTCAACTCTCCATGATATGAATTTCAAAATATTCTTCCTTCCATTGTTGCACTTGATATATTATCTCAGAGGTCTTCCTGCAAAGTCAATAGTTCAATAATCAATGTATTGACTTTGCACAAAGGTCTGGCAGATAATTTATTAATGATATGATATCTTAGGCATGTGCCCATATAATTTAAGTATGACGTGCAGTTCATTTTTATGTTCCTAGGGGGCACTTTTATACGTCAAGTGATCCGAGTCCTATATGGCACTGCCAATGAACTGTTTGCTGAACTGTTTGCCACTGAAAGAGTGGAAGGTTGTTGTAATGGGAAGCTGTGGCAACAATAACTGTACCCTTGGTCAGCCTTAAACCTTTAGTGGACACAGTAGGGCTTTTATGTATTAATTTCATTTATTTTTCCAGCCTGTTCTTTGACCAGTACAGACAACCCCTTGTGGACTGTATCTACAGAATTCTTAAACCAAATGTGAGTAAAAAAAACACATGTATGTAACCCAATGTAACCATCCTGGCATGATTTTGATGCTGGTTTTGTTAGTTTGTCAATGGTTTTTTGTTAGTTCATATCATATTATGTATTGTCTCCATTAGCACTAACTGGGAGGAGGACAGTGGACAGAGATGTGTTGTGCATAGCAGCTAACAAGAACTATGATAGTCAAATGATGGCTTAGTGTTTTTGTGTTTCATGTCCACTTTGTGTCCTCGAATGTATCGTACTTGCACTGTGTTTTTTTATTCATAATATGTAATGTCAACGCTACTCAGGAGTACTATGTTCTTCTGGCTGATTGGTTTGAAAAAAAAAGTTTAAAGTTTGTTTTGAAGTTTAGCTGCCGATATGTGGCAGCAAAATGATGATGACAATAATATAAATCAATGAGTTGTTTTCATGTCCATTAACCTTCTCCCTGTTGCTTAACCTGGTAACTAATACAAATTTTGTGCCAAATGTCTACCTTAGCAGGATGAAGGTTAAGGTTGAATGTAAGGGATAACAAAGACTGTTGTTTTAGGGCGTAGCGACAATCTTTGCACCTCGGCGTAACCAGACCCTGGAGGACTTCTGCAGACTAGCTGAGCCTTTCTTCAGGGTAGGCACAGTAGAAAACTATGAAGAAGTCATCTGGGCTCTTCATCTTAAGGTAACTCTCTTCTTGTGTCTGTTGTCAATGTTTACGTACTTTATGTGAGCCCAGTTTGTCATCATTTTATCATTAGATAGCTTTAATGTTTAGCGTTAGATGTTCGAGGGTTAGGTGTAACAAGTTGTTTGGTGTAATGTAGCCAGCTGCCGCCACGCCGCGTACCTGCGAAGCTGATGTGTTACGCCGAAGGGTGATTATGCTGCCTATACTGATACAGATCCTTGAGTTTGCATAATTACAATACATGGAGCCTGATAAATGTTGTTGTTGTTTAGTTACAGACAGAAGACAGAGACAGGTACAACCCAGATATCCACTACCCCATTATGCTGGTCCTCACCAAGCAATAACAGGAGACACGAGGACACGAGGACAGCTATGCAGCTGTTCATACCTGCTGTGCAGTACACTGCTGTTTCTGCAAGTTTCTATTGATGTATCACCTTCATCCTTTGATATTTTAGCTGCACATTATCACATACAGTATTGCCTTCATCCTCTGATATTTAGTTTTGCAGTTTTAAAAGCACAGCTGCATTTAAACCCTATTACAGCTGTGCAGACCTGTTAATGTATGTGCAGAAATAAAGGGTTGTTTTAGTCCAATGGAAATGGTGTTTTCTCCACTATTTTAAAGAAAGATTTTTTTCCATATGGAAACATATATTTGCAGATATATGTTTTTTTTTTACTCCTTATCCATTTTTTCAGTACACGTTTTGTTCTTCTAAACAGACTGAAAACTGTCATTTTATACCAACTGCCTAATAGGATAATGTGTAAGATGAATGGTAAACGTACAAAACTATAAGTCTTCCCCATTATAAAGGGCCTCTTATCTACACAGAGACTGCAATTTATTAAATGAATAACTTACAATCTGCCTTAAGAGCAGTTGTGAGTCTTGTGACGCATGATGTTACTAATGAAGGCCTTATCATTGCGGAAATGAGTAACTATATACAATTTACATCTGCACTATCTAATCATGTACTAAAGGTAGTGTAGACCAAATTCAATATAAAGTTTAAGAAATACTCATTCCAGCTTTACCAAGTCACTGAGTATGTTGCAAAATACAGGATGTGATGTCACATCTGTGGGCAGAGCTTGACACCAAATAAGGACACTTATGCAAATTTCCACTGCCAGTTAAGAGGTGATTCGTGCAAATTACCAGGTCTCTGAAGTACAGACTGAGGAGACTTATGCAAATGACAACAAATTAATCTATGCAGTTACAGAATACATGTGCATGTGTCATAGTATTAGCATCAGAGGTACAAATGTATTGGAAAAGTAAAGCACCATTTACTGTTCAACAAAGTAAATAAATAAGTAGATATTGTTTAAGATATGACTTTTCATGATTCTTAATGGTTTTAGTGTTCACCAATACTTCCGAAATGTGTGAAATTGTTACCGTTCTTGTATAAGAAGGTTCTGGTCAGAGAGGGTTTTACATCAGACATTTTCGTGACTGTCTGTCCCCTTCTTCAGGGCAACAATGACTGGTTCTGATGAAATATTTGTACTGCAGCTAGGTGTCACTGCTGCAATATCACAATTCACAACTGTTCCAAACCTAGAGTGTTGTCACGTAATATACACATTTTGTAAGTGCAGTAATATATACAGATGGTCACCAAAACATCATGAAATGTGAAAACCCCTAAAACCTTCTTATACAGTCTCTTGCCAACCTGCTAAAATTCATGAATGTTACCATAAGGGTTGATTAATCGTGATGTAGATGTCACGTAAAAAAAAGCTTCAAATGGTCCCTTTGAATCATGGCTCAACTGTAATTATGTTTGACCAGACTTATGTTATGACCAAAGACAGACGTTTATTCAGGACAAAGTTGTTTTTTATGTACTCTTTAATCCAGGCAGCAACATGAATGAGCTAGTTCAACAGTGCATCTAGACTACAATCATGGACTAAAGCTGTAGACAAATATGAGTTGCTTGTGGGTTTATCCACCCGTGTGCACACTTAGTATGTGTGTAAACACTACGATTAGTGTAAACCCTTTCATGTGGATCAAACATATGTAGTGCTAACATTCCAGAAGCAAAGCTGTGTTACTGTGTGAACACCAGATGACATTATACTAGTAATGTGGACATGCCAGCGTTTTTGCTAAGCCTTCTGATAAAGTTTGTTAGCATTTCTTCAATGTCTAAAGCACATTGGCAGAATGTACTGCGCCTGTGCAAAACCACAGATTCTGTTGAATGTTTGGTCAATGTTGCATCAGAATTTTGTCCGTTGCAGAAGATGTCTTTTCTGACACAACGTTTGAAAACTACAGATGGGATGTCATGCTTTTAAAATATGCAAAGACAGAACCAAACGATAAGTTCTATGTTTGATTTCACACAGGCCATCGCCCAATAGACTGATAACTCCAAGCAGAAGGGAAAATTGTAACGTTCCTTACAGCTCCCTGTTTCTATCACCAGTACAATACTCCTAGAGAAGATTTTGCAGCAAAAATTATGAACTAGAAAACATAACAATATTGCCTTCCAATATATCTGCTTTCAGATTAATAGACTGCATCATTTAGTAGTAATTCATGTTAACATAGACCAAAGACATTTTTGTGTCGCTGAAATTGTTTGCAAGGGGCAAGGTCATGTTAGAAGTCCTACCCTACATTTTTATGTGATTTTGAAATTAGGACTATTCTATTTTGAAATCTCAAGATGGGACATTAAGACATTTTGACCTCCATATAGCCCTTTTCATACTTAGGTTAAATACCAAGTATATGAACTATTATTCAAAATCCCCATTTATTTCTCTTAATAAGAATATTGACTGCCCTCTTAACATTTTAAATGAAAGAACCCTTGTCATGTTACTGCATGTAGATAAGAGACTTAACATTAGATCAAGGGATATTTTCAATAAAACATGGAGGACAATTTAGTGTATTTGTTAATGAAGTCAAAATAGTTTAATAAGGATGAGAAGTTGTACTGGTCTCTATAATATAATTATTATTGTAGTGAATAACATATAGCAAACCAGATAGAGGACAGTGTGGCCCTTGCTGCTCTTGTAAAAGCTTTTAACAAGAAACATGTCTATTTTGGCAGACTTTTCCCTGTGCTACCAACACAGGAGGTAGTTTGTTTGCATGTAGAATTCTTTCTGAAGAAATCCGGGGAATAAAGTTGAATTTAAACTACATGTATTGCAGTGACAATATTTGTTTCAAGTGTACGTGTCTATTCATGCTACTTAAAGACACTGAAAATCAAACTGAAGAGTCAGCTCTCTACACTAGATGTCCTTGGCCTACTATGCAAAATACAACTGGGACAACCAACTACTTAAGAGTCATTTCTGTCCAATAAACAAGGTTATTTTGTACGCTAGCTAGAATCCCAAACACTTCTGTGCTAGCTAGTCTCCCAAACATTTTTCGTATGCTAGCTTGTATCCCAAACATTTGATTGTAGTCTAGGAGGAAATTCTCAGAAGAGATCTAGAAAAAATGAATGAGAAACGTAGTCGACCCTGTACACACTTAGTCCAGTACCATAGAACATCAGCTTGATCATCCAAGGTCGGACTATGTGCCTTTATTCAAATTTATGCAAACTAGGCAAATGTGCCCAAGGTATAGAAAAATAAAGGAGTACAGATTTTCCTAAGTTGCATAAATTTGCATATATGTCCATAGAACCGGTTTGTACCACTTGGGATGATCAGGAGACATCAAGGTATGATTCTTTGGCACAAGGCTAAGACCCTTTTCCCAAGTAGGATAAAATTATCCGGATCGAACCGAATTGATTCGCTTTGTTCGAACCGGATCAAAGCTTATCAATTCAGCTCGATCCGGATAATTTTCTCCTTGTTGGAATGGGGCCTAATTCCCAGTAATTGTTAGGTTTCTCCTTCTGAACTACAATGTATAATCAATACCTGAATATCTTGCAACTCTGTCTCCTGAGCTTTGATATATTGCTGTAAATTTGACATACATGTATATTCTGACTGATATTTTGTTAATATGGATCCGTCAGGACTTGTCTGTGTGACTGACGGATTTTGGGTTGGTCATCAGTCGTAGCTGGTACTTAGAGTCCAGACCCAGCCACACGTACATGTCCTTACTGGGCTTCTTCTGTTCCCGGCGTATCAATGCACGGGAACGGATCACAGTGGGTAACCTATCGCCCCCTCCCTCCCGTCCATCCCGGTCGTACAGATGTGTGTTGTAGTTTGCCTGCATGACTTTGGGCATGATACCGGACGGTGTACCCGTTCGTCCCCACCAGTTCTATGGCGCTGCCCGGCCACGTGCGGCGCCCGTAGGCTCGGTCCGTCTCGATGGGCGGGAGATGGTGGACGCTCCTCTCCAATGGGTACTTCTTCTCATCCCTTGACTTTCCATCGTTACTAGAATGCCCTTCGCTATCCTTCCTTTCTGTATCGGGAAAGTGGACGTGATAGTTGGGGTTAGAAGAAGTTGGAAGTTGGGAGATGCTCCGTCTCCGTACCCTCGCCCGCAGTAGAGATCTGGGCAGACCGGGGTTCAACTTGGCCACCGACTTTTCCTCTTCCGAAAGCTGGTCTATTTGTGGCAAACGGACGTTGGCTTCGTCGGTCCCGCTCTTGGTAACTTCAGGGTGTTCTGTATCGGGTGGTTTTGTGTTCCCGGACTCGCATACAACGCACTTGGCGCTAGTTTTAGATGGTATTGAAGGTAAAGCCGGTGTCGTAGAACTAGAGCTATCCTCCTCTGCCTGTTCTAACACGGGAGACAGCCTGCCTGGTTCGGCTGAGTTCTGTACGTCTTCACTCTCCAACTCCGGTTGCACGCTTGTGGTTGCAGTAGAAGTACGACCGTTCTGTTGTGAGTAAGAGTTCTTCGGTTGCGAAGACGAGATTTTCAGTTTGTCCGTGTGTTCTTCTGACAAAGACGACTCATAGTTTGACGGTGTTGTTGGGACATTCGGATCCTCACGTGGTAACTTTATAGTCCTCACCTTGTCCAGTTTGTCTGTTTTACCGGTGTCCGCTGAGTCGGTGTCACTCTGAAACTTGGGAAGACAGGCTTCAAGCTCCATCAGCCTGTAGAGGGAGGGAACCACAAGATGAATATCAGGTGAGAGAATCTGACTTGTGCGTTTTACTTGCCATTTACTTCATGTTTTTTTAGGCAAGTGTGTAACTTGTAATGTCTGTATAGTTAGGTGTCTACTGGTTGATGCAGTAAGTGAAGGCTGCTGTCTAATCCTGTCTTGGCGATTCAGAGACACAAGAGTAAGATAGCAACAGCATCATCCAAAGGTGAAACATTATGCTTTAGAAGATTCTTTTGACCCCAGCACTCTTGCAACTTACTCACTCACTCTGCCACAATAGCCTTGTTTCTTGTTTACACAAAGTTTGCCCAAAGTTATTTTTCAATCGAAGTATTTCTTTTTAAAATGAAACAGTTTTGCATATTGATAAATTTCGTAATTACACAGCCAAAAATTTGCGTTAGACCAATTTCCTTTCATATCAAATTCACACTGTAATCCGTTTAATGATTCATACTTAGCTGCCAAATACATCATCCGAATGCTGGAGAAACGTTATCTTCATCTGATAAGGCTGAAGAATAATAGTCCTGTTTTGCTAACTGTTAGTTTTAGATTGGCTGCATTTAATTGATCTTAAAACCCCGTGTTTGTGGCGTAATTAATGTAATTAATGACGGGTGACGTGTTAAGGATCACACTTGTAATACCTGCATGACAAAAAGCATAACTTTACTTTGCCACTGTGGTATTACAGCAAATGGCAAAGAGTTTAAGACAAGAATTGGAACTCATAATGCGAAATAAATTTACGTTGTTGAACCATACGGTGGTGTTGCTCGTGATCCTATCTAAACAGAGGCTTATCTTTTAGGCTTCGGCGTGTTTTTGTCGGGCTTTCTTTTTCGTACCGGTATCTTCTTTTTGCAAGCCAAACTCCACTGTCATAAACTGGGTCACTGTCTTGTATCCACCAAAAATGTGCTTTTTGACATGTGTTGCTACACTCTCATTACTCTTGAACGTCCGTGCGTGTGTGTGTGTGGCGTTGTACCATTACGTACCTGTTGAGCAAGTCCGTCTCTTGCTTGTTCATCGTCCTGGAAAATTTGGTTTTCTCTGCGTTGATGCGTGAGACGGTCCTCTGGTGAGTCCGGTCCGTCAGCAGGGTCCTCTGTTTCAGCGTCCGTTCGTTGTAGTACCGGGAACTCTGGCTGTGCGAGGCGGCGTGCTTGGGACCTCTCCCGGCGTCTGTTTCGCCGTTCCTCTGCCGTTTCTTCGCCGGCCGGCGGCGCCGTGGGACTCGTGGTACCGGCTCTGATTTCATGACGACCGTACAACTTTCACGGTGTACTCAGTTCTTCTAAACCAGGCGCAAGTTTTTGTCCAAACTCAGAGACAAATATACACCAACTTAGCAGCGTTTCTGACAGAATAACGGTGCCCAGAGAAGTTCAGAATTTCACAAACATCCTGACAGCATGACGAACACCTGTTACTCTGTAGCCCATGGGAGCTTATTTCTTCACATTTCACGGACGATCAGAAAACAGAAGTCGCGACACAGGAAGAGTTGTGTTGTCTCTCAGAAAACATCTGGTCGTATCTTCAAAGACGCATCCAACCTAGCAACGGTTACTAAACAATGTTTAGAGTCACCCCATGCACACCTGCAGTAAACTGTCACGCCTCGGTAAGAAATCTATGTACAGGCCGAAATTGAGGAAGACATATACATCTCATACATAGGCGCTCGGCAATGCCACACTTTGAACTACGCGTACTTTGAAAACCCTGTGACCACCGACCGTCACATCTGCTAATCAAATGACTATTGACTGGTGTTGAGTGCTAACCTTTGCGCCCTAGAGCCAGTAACAGGTTGGTGTATAACCACGTATGTACACACGCATTATTGGCACACACAATACACGGGCGAATGGGCGGGATCAGGAAGTCGTGACTGTATTTGTTTCGCATTTAAGCGGGCATTCATTGCCGCTAATCCAATATTTGTCCCTTTCAAGGCCCGAAAAATAAATTTGGTCGAACGTACTCGCACGTCCCCACGACAATTAGTGTACACTAAGCTGGAACTAATGTGTTTTTAGCATTACTTGGGAATAACTGCTGAAACGTAGTCTTCGTGAGAACGCTACTGAGTTGATATATCCGGTAGATTCTTTTAGGTGAATCGCCAAACTGGAAAGAACATTTCAGGCTGAAGTAATGTGATGTTTTCGGGAGGAAGACGCTGAACTTATTACTGTTTGAGGAACAGGTTGTATCAAAAAACACCCCTGGTTACTAGGGCATCTGTTTCATCCTGAAACAACGAAGTCAGCAATTCACCTGGAACTTCTGG